CCCTTAGGGATTTCTTCCTGCATCTAGAATCCCCTTTGCATTTGAGACTGTTCCATAGCCAAGCACATGGCTCTAACCTTTACTGGATTTATGAACCCAAATCTGTATTTTAAGTGTCATAACTCTTATCATGGAGCAAGTAAAAATCAGATGTTCATGTTGTCTTGCTTGGTGCTTTGATATCTGGAACCAGTGATTTATCTTTGCCTCTGCAGGAAATCAAGACCCACTTCATCTTTATTATCCCAGCCATCAACATGTTGCAAATTCTAATTTTACATTCATTTTATTTTGGGCTAATACAAATTACTGGGCCAGCCACTTATCTTGGCATTTAGTAATTCCCTCTCACAATTAAATTCTGTTTCTTTGGCTTCGTATTCCCTAAAAGCCCACCCACATTAACTGCAGCAAACATTTCAACCCCTTTTTTCCGGGATGACTCACATTGTCACACACAAACCCCTACATCCTCACAAAGAGAAACGTTTTATCTCCATTTCTAAGGTTAATACAAAAGAGTTTTGATCTGCGGTTCAACCCAGCTGGAGTCCACTCCCTGGGTCACTGCTGCCTTTAAGTGCCTCTGTGGAAACTGCACTGAGTCTGAAGTCTGGAAGGGTCTGGCTGTGGCTTGGTTACTTCAACTCCTGGAGCTTCCATTTTCTCATCAAAAACTAAACAAGAGGTTACTATGAAATTAAACAGTATGATATGTCTGAAAGCCCTAGGCTCCTGGGAAGTGCTAGATGAGCTTTTATAGTTTAGCTCCCTTCTAAGGGGCTGGAGCAATAGTACAGCGGGTAGGGCGTTTGCCTTGTACTCGGCCAACCCGGGTTTGATTCCTCTGTCCCTCTCAGAGAGCCCAGCAAGCTATCGAGAGTATCTCGCCCTCACGGCAGAACCTGGCAAGCTCCACGTGGCGTATTTGATATGCCCAAAACAGTAACAAGTCTCATAATGGAGACATTACTGGTGCCCACTCAAGCAAACTGATGAACAATGGGAGGACAGTGCTACAGGCAGTGCTCCTAAGGCAATCAGGGGAGAGTCTCCATAACTCCATAACTATGATTCCACCCCCACCCATGCAGAGGCAAGGACTGTGCTGAGGCCAGCGCAATTTTACCATCAATGCTGAGCATAAGGCCCACAGTTCCCATTCTGCAGATTTTGGTTGACCATGACAGTGAAGAGGTTGAAGGTTCAAACTCTTCCCGCTGTTTGGTGATGGTGAGAATGGCAGAGGCAGTCTTACCAGACCATTCCCAGGCCGTGATCTGTATTTTTCTCTGCCTGCCCTTCCTGAACTCCTATTTCACTTCCAAATTCAAACTCCTTAACCTCCCCACCATTTCTCTGGGTTTCCAAGAGCACTTCTTTCCCGCCAGGTCTGCCAAGTCAGTTTCCAGCGTTAGCATCTGTGACTCAGGTCTTGTGCACTGCGACTATCCTTGACCTTGGTCTCCCACCTGGCTAGCCAGCTCAGCTGGGGACACTGGGAAACTATTCATACCTGGTCCTTAAAGCCTCATCTGCAAGACAGTCACTGTTTTTCATTTTTCTCTGGTATCCTTAGCAATTCTAAAAGTGCATTATATGTTTCTTTCAAGCAGAATTATGTTTTTTCACTGACTTTTCCTCCCCCTATCCTCAATATTTACCTCTTGCTTTTTGCTATTTTTGCCTTTTGTTTGGTTGGTTGGTTTTGGGAGAAGTGCTTTTTCTTTTCTGTTCAAATTATTTTTCATTTGTTTGGGGGGCACCTCTAGCTGTGCTCAGGGCTTACTCCAGGCTCTGTACTCAGGGATCACTTCTAGGGGTTCTCAGGATCAAAACCAGGCCACCATGTGCAAGGCAAGCACCTTTCCTACTATACTCTTTCTCTGGTCCCTTATCTGCTTTTATGTTTAGGGTTTGTGTGATTTAATAAGCTTCCACTGCACATGAACTGCTTGCCAGATCTTATGGCAGGAACACAGATTCAAAGATGAATATAACAGTCATTACCTTTGGGATGATAATAGTGGAACAAATAAAATGTAGATTAATGCCAAATGCAGAAAACATATCCCATCACGCTACTCAAAGGCGGGAAGAAAATATTAGAGACGTGCAAATGCTTCAGATTTGACCTGGTACAGCATTTCTCCTAACGAAGAAAATATTAGAGACGTGCAAATGCTTCAGATTTGACCTGGTACAGCATTTCTCCTAACAGAGATGTGATTCTTTTATTTTTTGTGTTCTGTTTTCTTTCCTTGGTGGCACAAAGGAAAGGGCGCACACGTGCAAAGCCTGAGCCCTATCACTGCACCAAATCCACAGCCAGTCATTGTTCTTTTGGCCTGAATGTGCCTTCGCTTATATCTCAGCCACAGAGCCCGCTTGGCAGTATCGTCTTATTTCCCTCTGCCTTTTTCAGGGTATGAACCTACCTCTCTCCTTGTGTGTATAAATGCAGCAACCCGCTTGCTTTATAACCCGTGAACAACTGAAGACACACTCCGGGTTGAACAGCCAGAGCAGAGATCTGGCTGCTGAGCTGCGTGCACCTGGTCCCTGTGCTCTTTGATCTACATTTCTTCACTCCTGTTACAGCTTCTCCCGAATACCTCTCAGCATGCTTTTCACCCTGACATTCTCCGGCTGCCTCTAATCCATCATTACAGAGCGAGGCCTTAAAAACAGCACTCAAGGGAAACATCAGTTCCTTTCCATTTCTCTCCCAGAAAGAGCAACTTATAATGGGAGGCTCTGGAGGGGGGGACTTTTTAGGTTAAAGAAATATAAATAACAAGAAATAGCTTGTTCGGTTCTCCCTTTAAGATGCTGGGCTTCAAGTTTTAAAAAATAAAAAATAGCCTTTTGGTTTTAAAAAATACAATAGCAATCAGCCTTTGGCCTTCTTAACCATTAATATTATATCCCTGGTAATAAGGCTGGGGGGGTGGCTAGTAGGAGCTATTAAAGGTAGGAATAGCTGAGACCATTCTCTGGTGAATGGAGCCCAGAGGTCCATAAATATAACCTGTGTGAGGTTAGCCTGGTGGTTCCCTAGTACTTGAAATTTGTGAGTCCCCTGATGCCAAAAGCAGATGGGGAACCTGTTGGGTTGGCTTTTGTTTTGTTCTGTTTTGTTTTTCAGACAAGGCTGCAGTGCTCAAAATTACAACTTGAGGAAGGTTCAGCTGCACCAGGTTGCAACGTTGCCAGGGTCTGAAAGTCAGGCATGGAGACTGACCAGAGGGACAAGGACCGAATGTCATTTTCTTCATTGGAAAATCTGGTGTTGCCATTTGCAACAACCTGTGTTTTTTTTATTATTTTATTAAGCTAGAGTGTTCAGTGCACAACAATTTCCAACTTTCTCCATTTTATTTATTTATAATTTTTAATGTGGATCAAACCTGCTCTGCTCGAGGGCTACTCCCGGCTGGCTGCTGCTGGGCACCTCCCTGAAGCCCTCAGAGACCCTTCTACACACACACAGCACATGCACTCACCTGGCTCACTCTCCAACCCACCATTGACTATTTTTAACTATTGTCAAAGGCTCATTTAGCCAATATTCTTTACAGACAGAGGCTAATAATTTTACTGTCAAAGTTGGAAGTAGTCTATATCTGGAGGAATTACATTCAGCAATTGCAGGGTGGGTACCATGGATATTGGACATGCCTTACTCCTTTGCGCTATCTCCCTGACCAAACATTTAGGGTTTTTTTGTTGTTTTATTTTTTTTTTTTTGGTTAGGCTATTGAGTAGCACCCAATCCAGTTTTCCCTCAAGTCAAGGGTGCTGCTAATTTTTATTCATTTAAGAGGCACAAAATGTTGAGGAGGCTATTCCTGACTCAAGGCTTGAAGATTTCTCCTGGAGCTTGAGAGACCACAGAGAGGCTAGGAACCCAGGGTTCCTAGCTGCAATACATTTGAGCATCTCCCTGCACCAAAGTGACTGCTAAGAAGTGTCCATGGGAGAGTAAGCCCTGAGCACCTCCAGGTGTGGGAGGAAGAAAATAAATCCTGTACAAAATACTAAGTGCCTAGAGATGGAGCTGCAGGAGGGCAGGGTTAGGGACAGTGTGCAGGGCTGGTACTCAGGGTTCAACCACTGTCATTCCATTTCATTTTGGTTTTGAAGACTGTTCCCCAGCAAACTTGCAGCTGCCGAGCTGGTGTAGGCGCAAACTGAGGCCTCACTGAGGTTTCCCATGCCTGTATGACTCCTTTCCAACTTTATGCTCCTTTTGGGGTCCGGGTGGGTGGGGAAATAGGGGTACACTGCTCTATGCTAGGCAATTCCTACCTCTGTGCTCAGGAGCGCCCTGAGGCGGTGGTGCCCGGGATCTGAGCTGGGGTGGGCTGCATGCAAGGCTCTTCATCTTCCTGCTTTTCAACAGGATCTGGCAGCTGGAATTCAGGGGGCTTTGCACGTTGGAAGATGGAGCCTGAGCATCTGTGCTGGCTCCCTCCTTCCTGCTCAAATGAGACATCCTTGCTTCCATTACTCGGGAGGGGACAGGGGACGTTTTAATTGGAGCTATTAGAAGTTTTTGTTACAGAACGTTGCCCTCCACGCAATGACGGCTCCTGCAAACGCCCCTGCCCACTCGGCAATTACTTCTTGCATTTGGAGACATAATGGTATCTTGTCTCATTTAAAAATAAGTCGGAGGTTTAGACCTCACTGCCTGCCCTCATCTGCCTACTCATAGGAATTTCTCCTTGCCAATTAAGCACACTTTCCGCTTTTTTCTTTCCGATGATCACTGTGCCCTGGGATAATGACATTTAACTCAATTTTATTTGCCTGTAGCTTTTTTCGAATAGAACTCTAATTTTGTTCTGTTTTGTTTTGTTCTGGGGGGTTTGATTTTGGGGTCACCCCAGGCTGTGCTCAGGGCTTGTTCCTGGCTAGTTTAAAGAAACCCAGAGAGGTCAGGCTCAGGGCACAGGAGAAGTCCCGGAATTTCCCTGTGACGTCACAACACTCACCTGCAACCACCCACACATTCAGCGTTTGCAGTTTCTCTGAATCACTTTCTCTTAAGAGAGCAGATGTAGATGTGTACTTATGACCTGTTCCAAGAAAAGAAATGAAATATTTATATGTTAAAGAAGCACATTCTTGATCTATGATCCCCAGATTGGCTCAATAGGTTCTTTAGGAAAATGGACCATTCCACACTCCAGGGCCCGAAGACATTGACGTTAAAAGCTTTTCTATAGTAAGTGATTTTCCATCAACATACTCAAGTTCTTTCTAAACCCAGTGGCTTCCCTGCTATCATAAAAGCCATTATGTCATTTCCTCTAATGGAAAACACCAATTCTACATACAGAATACTATATTATTTATGTCATTATATATATGACATTCAGAATATTTAACACATGTTTCATACTTAGTGCCTTTAGTGGAGCCGTGTTTTTCACGATTTTGTAGGCTTGGTTTTGTAACACAGCCTTTGAAAGCCACTAAGTCTGAATATTCAAAAAAAAATAATGTCATTTCCCACTATTGTTTTTTTCCCCAGACATTTTTTTTCTGTTGGTTTTTGTCTCTGTTTCCTAATATATTTAAAAGGTTGGGGAGGGGAGGAGGGAGAAACTCAGAAGACTCCAAGCTACTCTTTGCAAATAGTCCACATTAACTTAAAATAACATAATCATAAAAACTTGAAAGACTCTGACAATTTTTAGCTGTTCAACTCAGAACAAACAACCTCTCTGCAGCTCAGAGAGCTTTCTTCTATAGAATGAAAATCATAGCACAAACCCTATTTGTCTGCTTTGAAAATCTAGTGAAAGCTTGTGAAATTTCTCTGGAAATTATTGTTCTACAATACACAATGATGATGTCATTAACTGATACAGGAAAGACCTTTTATAGTAAGGTAAGGTATCACATACCAAGATGTGATATGAAATGCTTTGAGAAAGATCTGCAGGGTCAGTGAAAAACTACAACGGTTAAGGCACTTGCCTTTCAATTGGGGGGGTCTCTGGCTCAATTTCCAGCACCTCAGAGCCTCCTGGAGTTTTCCCTAATCACAGAGCCAGGAATAAGCCCTGAACCAATTCAGGTGTGCCCCTGTCCCTCCACAAATAAAGAGAAAGATTAGTAGCTAAGGCTTAACCAACAGAATGAACGGCAACCTCACTCAAGCCTGGAGGCTGTCATTTCCCCTGAATTGTTCTGTACAGCCTTGACTGCTAAAGAACTGAGTTGGGGGTGAGCCTAAAAGGACTTTGTGCATAAAAGGTCCTGATTTGATGGTTACCCCCCTCAAGTGCCACTGGATGTGAGATGCCCCCACTTGATTTTTTTAAAAGAACCTTGGAAATAATATAACCACCACAATATCACCATGCTTGAGAACTACCAAGCACAGGAAATTCTATTGAATCTCTTACAAAGTCTCTTTATTTCATTCCTGACCTCAACCCTGAGGGGTGATGGTAATGAGTCTGGCTTTATAGATAAGAAAGGAGACACTCAGATATTGTTATTTATTCAGTCACATAACTAGCAAGCGAGAGTTTCAAAAGTCCAGTCCTACTGTTCTGCAAAACCTATTCTCACAATATATCTTATATTGTATCTGAGAGACCGTAAATGGCACATAAACATTCATCAAGCCTGATATTCATTATATGAATGAATATTCACTTCCAGGGCCAGTGTATCTGTGGGCACTAGTCAACAGGGCCATGCCAGGAGTTTTCTATCCTGATAGGTGTGTGCCTGAGCCATGGCTATTAAATATTTGTAATATCACCCTCTACAGTTCTGATTTCCATTTTAGCTCTGCCTGACCAAATCTGTACTGTGCCACTTCCTAAATATTGACTATTATTCAAACTCTTCAGCTAGAACCATTCTGTTCAAACTCTACAACTCTGAAACATAGCCTCAGCACTTCATATTCTTCTATCCTTTTGGGTCCTCACTTCCACTAAGCTCAGCCTCCCATACACCAGCTTTCCCGAGTCACTGGGCCTCTCTTTCCACCTATTCACTAGTATTAGGAGAAAGGGACATGAAGTTTCTCAAATCCTCATCCTAGGTCTTAGTGATACTTATATTGCTTGGATTTTCTCGAATCACCACTCACATACAGTTGTTGCTCAATAAATGGTAAATTGAATTTTAAGAATAATTCAGATCTCTAGCTGAGGCATTCAATGAACTTATTCAAACAATGCATCTATCTCTCAATACTTACTCTGCCACTTGTGTGCTCTTCTGAGGTCTTCAAGTACTTTGTAGATAGTGAAGATAAGTGAAAATATAAAAACCAATAGAACTAAAATATACCAAGTGATCTTTGTGGAGCAAATAAAATCTGCAAAGAAAAAACATACTATAATATTACAAGAAAGTGATGCAGCCAGTAGGTGGTACAATTGGTTCTACATATCCTGTCCTTAGCTGAAAACTGAATATATAACCAATACTGATATAAAACTGAATATATAACTAGCACTTGCTCAACTGAACTCTTTCTTGATGAATTAAATAAGTACATTTGATTGCATGGCTTCCAGATTGGCATTTTATTCCCAAATTCCATGATGAGTTTCACTTGTCAATTGCGTGGCGTTGGTTTCTCTAATCTTGCATCTCTCTTGTTGAGTCTACCCCGCAGCGCATCTCAGAATCAGAACTCTTGGTAATTAACAACTTTGACCCATATCACAGAGCTAAAAACATATGTTCTTGAATCAATCAAGATGCAGTGATGGGGAAGAAAGGACAAGAAACAAAGAGAGAAGGCAAAACTGTGACATATGTAAAAGAGGCCACATAGATTCACCCAGACATTCCCATTGGCTCTCACAGCAATGATCCTATCAAGTATGTGCATTCACTCAAGATAACTCACTCCCTTTATTAGAAAAAGAAAATCCAAATTACAGATATAGAATGACTACATTTATTTGTGATATATATATATGTAACAGTATGAAACTAATATCCAATGCCAGGGGGAAATGGGCCAGGAGGACTGGTCAATGGTGGGTCAACGGTGTGGGAGATGGAGGATAGTTAAGATAGAGGAGGGTCGATTATCACAATATTAGTTGGCAATGGATAAGAACTGAGTGTTGAAAGTAGGTAAAGGAATAGAGATGATAAACTTTTAGCATCTGTATTGCAAATATCATAATGCTTAAAATAAGAGAGAGAAAGATAAAGAGAGAGAGAAGAGGTGCCTACTGTAGAGGCAGCCTGGGGTGGGAGGGTGGCTTGAAGGGGTGGGAGGAAATCTGGGGATACTAGTGCTGGGAAATTACACTAGTGGAGGGATGGGTGTTGAATCATTGTATGACTGAAACACAATCATGAACAATTTGTAATGCTCTATCTCACGGTCATTCATTAAATTTTTTAAAAAAAGAAAAGAAAAGCTGACAGTTAACTGTAGTGCCAGCAAAAGGCAAGGTGGGTGCAATCTCCAAGGTGAAATGAAACACTATTAGGACTCTGAAAAACAATCATGCATTTATCATCTTTCTAAGGCAGGGGTGATCATGCCCAATCGGTGGGTGTCAATGCATTTACCAAAGCATCAGCACAAACATTAGAGTGCTTTCCTACCTCCCCTGCCACCCCCTCACCCTTCTACTCGCCATCACGGAGAGGAGCAAACAAAATGAGTAAGAATCAGAAAATAGCTGAAGGAGCCAGTGACAGTTTCAGAGTAAATTTTCCAGTTTGAACTAAATTTAGCTTCACCCCCTGGTGGATAGAACAGCTAAGGGAGATTCCAATTAGTCTTTGCATAGCAGAGTGAAAGATGAATAAATTTAAACTTTTCTACACAAGGAAAAATAAATGTGCAGCTTCCAGATTACGGGGCTCCATAATTGGGCCTCACTATTATATCTGAGCTATGAGTTCAATTATTTATCATTTGGGGCTGACTAGAATTTGTAGGGTTTTCTCCAATTAACCCAAATGCAAATTATCTTAAAAGCAAAATTATGAAAATGATTCTTTCCTCTTCATATTTTAGAAAATATAAAATCTCATTAGCTGGATACAAAGATGTGCAGTAGAGCAAATGTTTAAATATCTATTATCTTTATCTTTCAGATGATATCTTGGTGTATTTATACAAACTTTTCAAAACATTCTTGCCCACTTCACTCCTGAATCAAGGCAACTCACCCTTTTGCTCAGATCTCAGTCCTTTTCCCACTCTGCCCACCATACATACATTGATGCAGACACACGTGCACATGCATGCACATGTGAAACAATCTTCATTTCAGAGACCGTGAGGTCCTTGGAAAACTAACTCAGAAGATACAATTTTTTAAATCTATAATTTATTTTGAAAACTGCCTACGTATTACATACTTGTGTTTGCTCTAAAGTAAATGTGGCATTTTGAAAATAAAAGCACCCAAAATTATTAGAGCTTCAGCAAAGCATTTTACAGCTTCCATTGGGATGGAATAATAAAAGTCAATTGCTCTACCATCTCACCTTTCCCTCGGGAATGTACTTACTTGCTTATTTTACATTTATTCGTCTCCGTGTCCTTAGTACCTCACATTCTGTTTTACAGCAGGCACTCATTAATTGGTACACTATAAAATGGCCTTCAAGAGTAGATTTTTAAGTGAAGTGGGAGCACACTGCTTAGAGGAAAAGATTAATGACAGTAACTGAGAATAGGATGACTTGGTAGTTAAGTCTTGATTGGTGAAACAGTCAAGCAGAATTAAGATCCATGTAAACTGTGTGTTTGCAGTGTCTACCTTTCTCTCAGGGTCACCCAGTGACCCACATTGCCTATAATCCACCTATCTTAATGGCATTGCATCAAAAAAATCACATTTAATACAAGTCTGGTTCTCATCTCCAAGACAGGGCATAAAAATCAATTCAATCCAACATAACATTAATAGCATATTACAAAAAACAGGGGTTTTTATGTTTAAGAATTCATCTTAGGGGCCAGATAGATAGTACAGCAGGTAAGGTACTTAGTTCACACTCAGTTGACCTGGGTTTGATCCCCAGCATCCCACATTGATCCCCTGAGCCTCACCAAGAGTAATTCCTGAGCCCTGCCAGGGGTGATCCCTGAGTGCAGAGCCAGAAGCAAGCCCTAAGCACAGCCAGGTGTAGCAAAAAAAAAAAAAAAAAACCCATAAATAAATAAATAGAAAAGAAATCTCTGCGGCAGGATAAAAAATTAATATGATTAATGCTATTGTGCATTGGTTTGCTATACACAAACAATGTATTAAAGGAAAGGGAAATTAAAAAACAATCCCTAAAATGGTGAGAAGAGATGAACAGGAACTTCAAGGAAGACATACAGATGGCCAATATTGTATACGGAAAACAGTCTTGTGTATCACTCACCACCAGGGAAAGGCAAATTAAAGCAACAAGAAGGTATGACTTCATACCAGCACATATCACAAAGAACAAAACCGGTCTTGGAGTAGATGTGTGGAAAAAAGAACCATCATCCACTACTAATGGAATATTGCCTGGTTCAACCCTTTGGAAAGCAATATGGACATCTCAAAAAACTAAGAATTGAACTTCCATGTTACTTAGCATCTCCACTTTGGGGCACCACTTTGAGGCACCTACTCAAGAGCCCCAAATCTCCATTTAAAGAAGATATTTTGCATTCTTATGCTAATTGGAAGAACCTGACAAGCTACCTGCAACATACTCAATATGCCAAAAACAGTAACAATGACAGTCATCATTCCCCTGACCCTGAAAGAGCTCCCAATACTCCATCAGGCTTCACAAGCACGTGACAGGGACGAATGAAGACGTTACTGGCACCCGCTCGAGTAAATCGATGAACAATGGGATTACAGTGATATAGTGATACAGTGATGCTAATTGTAGCACTATTCAAAATAGCCAAAATCTAAAAACAACCCAGGTTTCTAAAGACAGATGAACTGGATAATGACACTATAGTACATATACACAATGAATACTACTTGACTGTATCACTGTATCACTGTTATCCTGTTGTTCATCGATTTCCTTGAGCAGGCACCAGTAACATCTCCATTCGTCCTAGCCCTGAGATTTTAGCAAGTGCCACATTGGAGGCTCTTTCAGAGTCAGGGGAATGAAACCAATCATTGTTACTGGGTTTTGGCATATTGAATACACCACACGGAGCTTGCCAGACTCTGCCATGCGGGCAGGATACTCTCAGTAGCGTGCAGGGTTCTCAGAGAGCAAGAACTAGACAATAAGAGGTGAAGATCCAGAGTCAAGATCCAGAGACTACAAAACCAAGCTCCCGGAAGAGAACAACGCAGTCCCCGTGCCTGACTGTCCTCACTGGGGCCCCTTGGAGGGGGGGCAGGTTGAGTTCCCCTCCCCTCCCCTCCCCTCCCCTCCCCAAGCAGAACCCGGGCAGCTGAAGATCTCCGGGACCGAGACACAGCCATGCTTAAGACCACTCTCTACATGCTCCGACGAGCCTCATGCATGAAGGAACTGGCAGAGGAACCAGGTATACGGGTCCCGGGGCTGAGATCCCAAGCCTGCTCCCTTCGGGACTGGACCTCCTCACCCAGATCCCCCATCTTCCAGTAGCTAGGCAGTTACACCCACCAACTGCCCCAGCGACGTGTGATCCCATCAATGACCAAGAACTAGAGACTATAAAATCAAGCTCCTGGAAGCACGAGACATACTTGACTAGGGGGAAAAAAGATAAAATCATGCAATTTTCCACTATAGAGATAGAACTAGTGCATATGCCGAGTGAAGTCAGCCATAAGGAAAGGGACAGACACAATATGATTTCTATCATGTGTGAGATACAAAGAAATGACAGTGAATCACAAATCATCCAAAGCAAGAGAATTTGTGAATTGGTCTACACAACAATGGGGAAAGAAGGTGTAAGGATGACACGTGGGGAGGTCTAAGATGATGGTGGATGGAAACTCTGGGGGATTCTCTCTTTAAGAGTGTGATGTTGCAATGTTGTATACATATCGTTGACAGTATTATAAGTGATAGTGACTAAAATTAATAGCTTTTACTAAAATAAATGTTTAAAAGAATAAAATAATCCCAGTTGTAATTGCATCAAAAACAGATTAAAATAGTTGGGAGTAAACATAATGGTAAAGGTAAAGGTAAAGGCCCTCCCGTTGATCGTCGATTTGCTCGAGCGGGCCCAGTAACGTCTCCATTGGAGACTTTGTTGTTACTGTGTCTGGCATATCGAATACTCTCGGCAGCTTGCCGGGCTCTCGAGAGGGGCGGAGGAATCGAACTCGGGTCGGCCATGTTGGCCGCTTGTAAGGCGAACGCTCTACCCGCTGTGCTATCGCTCCAGCCCAACATAAAGTAAAAAATCTGTACACTGAAAACTGTTGGATGTTACTAAATAAATAGAAATACCAAAGAAATGGAAAAACATACTACATTTAGAGATTGAAAGAATAAACATTATTGAAATAGCCATCTTAAAACCATCTACAGAATCAAAAGTCTCTATCAAAATTTTAGTGTCTTTTTTTTTTTCTTTTTGGGTCACACCTGGTGATGCACAGGTGTTACTACTGGCTCTGCACTCAGGAATAATTCCTGGCGGTGTTCAGGGGACCATATGGGATGCTGGAAAATGAACCCAAGTTGGCTTTGTACAGGCAAATGCCCTACCCGCTGTGCTATTGCTCCAGCCGCGTACTGTCATTTTTAAGGACTAAAACAAACAATTCCAAAACTTGTATGGGAACACAAAAGATCTTGAACTGCCAAAGCATTCCTAAAAGAACAGAAGGGAAATGGAGGCATCAGGCTCGCTGGATTCAACTACATTACAAAACAATAGTAATTAAAATGGTATAGAAACTACTGAAATAGGAGCAAACACACAGGACTATGGAATAGAGAATCCAGAAATTAATCCACACATATATGGACAAAAGTGTCAAGTCCAAATATGGAGAAAGAAAAGGCTTATCAACAAATTATGTAAAAACTGAAGAGCCATGGCAAAAGGGGAAAAAAGAAGAAATTAAGTCATCACCTAATACTATAAATCAAAAAACTCAAAAACGAGGGACCAATCTAAATTTTAAAAAAAAAACATGGTGTTTCACTAATAAAAATCTAAATTAAAAAACAAATTTAAAAAAAGGGACCAAAGAGATAGTACTAAGAAAACTTTGGGACTGGGTGATAGTAGAACAGGTAGGGTGTTTTCCCTGCATCCAGCCTACTCAGGTTTGATCCCTGGCATCCCAAATGGTCTGTCCCCTGTGCATTCCCCAGGAGTAATTTCTAAGTGCAGAGCCAGGAGTAACACCTGAGTACTGGAGGTGTGGGTAAAAACAAAGAAACAAGCAAATAAGTAAGAAAATTTCTTCACATTACAAGAAACTACAACAATCAAAAGGCAACCTAGCATCTGGGAGAAGATATTTATACTGCATACATCTGACAAGGAGGTTGATGTCTGAAATAGGTAAAGGACTCACACAACTCAACAACAAAAAAAGCAAAGAATTCAACCAAAACATGGACAGGAGACATGAGTAGACACTTCTCCAAAGATGACATCTGGCCACACAGATAAAAAAAAGTTTGAGATGCTTATTACTAGGGAAATGCAAATTAAAATCAGAGTGAGATATTGTTGCATTCAGTAAGGATGGCCTGTGTTTTAAAGATTAGAAACAACAAATATTGGTGAGTATGTAGAGAAAAGGGAACCTTGGTAGGCTCTTGGTGGGAACATAACTTGGTACAGCCTTAATGGGAAATGGTCTGTATTTTCTTTAAAACAAATAAAAACAGAAATACAATATGATCCAGCTATGCTATTTCTAAGTATTCATTCGAAGTATATGAAAAAAACTCATTCAAAAAGATTTTTGCACTCCTATGTTCATAGAGCGTTATTCACAACAGCCAATACATGGACCCTGTGACAGGACCTATGGATGCAGGAGCCTGTATTTAATCCCTGGCATGACATGACCCCTTTGCTTCCCACTAGCACTGCCAGAGTGCCTTTAATATAATTAAAATAAAACTTACTTTTGACATCCATTTCCAGGTGCAAAGAAATGTGTGTACAATTATTTGGATAGTTCATAATTGTACAAGTATGATTTCTAGACTTGTCCTGAGTTGGACCTCCATCAGAAATTTCTGCATAAGGGTGGGCTTTCAGGTTCTGGGTAATGTTATATTCCTCCAAATGGTTGATTGTAGAAGGAACAGTGATATACAAATGTCGACAAGATGAATCAAGGTCATTTGTCTTCTCTTCTATTGAACCTCTTATGACAAGAGCTGGGAAGAGATTAAGAAAATATTAATGGCAAAATAGTACCATAACAGGAAAACACATGCAAGTTGAGATGTAGCCCAGGGATAGTTTGCCCCGCTTTTGTGAGGCCTGATATTATCCCAGACACCACACACACACACACACACACACACACACACACACACACGCACGTATACATGCACGCACGCATGCACACCTCAAAACTAAGTCTACTTCCTACACAAATCTGATCTTAGTACAAAGATTGTGTGCTTATAGCTTTCAAGATTGTGAAAACCAGGAGGGTTGAAAGAATTGGAGCATCTCAGAAAATCAGACATTTCCCTGATGACTGACAGCACCAGCTGTATCCTCCGAAAACAGTTATAACAGTAATTCATATGCATATTGTGCTGTTTTACTGGGGTTGTCCTCACAAAATATCATAAAATTAGAAGCACGAGGCGCTCACTGTTGTGTCTCCCAATTCTGGAGACAAAATTATGATGAAGATGGTACAAAGGTGCTTTCTTGTGAGATCTGTGAGCAAGCACATGCGGGCATCTCTCCCAGCTTCTGCTGCCTCTTAAAGGTTACTGTCCAATTCCCAAAGCATGAGGAACTCCAAAAGCAGAAATTCCCTAAAGTGCTCATGAAAGGAAGGAAGGAAGAAGGAAGGAAGGAAGGAAGGAAGGAAGGAAGGAAGGAAGGAAGGAAGGAAGGAAGGAAAAGAGAGAGAGAGAAGAAAGAAAGAAAGAAAGAAAGAAAGAAAGAAAGAAAGAAAGAAAGAAAGAAAGAAAGAAAGAAGAGGGAAGGAGGGAAGAAGGAAAGGAGGGAGGAGGAAGGAAGGAAGGAAGAAGGAAGGGAGGGAGGGAGGGAGGGAGGGAGGGAGGGAGGGAGGGAGGGAGGGAGGGAGGGAGAAGGAAGAAGCTGTTTCTCTAAGCCCCTGAGTTTTGGGAAAATCTGTTATAACACCTAGAAACTGGAATATTCTTCCAGATGGTATGTAGCATGTGTGAGCTACCCAACCTCAAACCAGTTCACAGTTCTTTGTGCCTTACAGGTATTTCCCCAATTTGCTTTAAAGTTAATCAGGCCCAGAACCCTTCAAGAATTACAACACTGCTTGAATAAGAACACAGGAAAAGACAAGCTATGTACTTTAATCCAAAGCCAATGCCAAAAGATCTCATTTACCACTCAGGAAAAAAATGGGGGAAATCAAAATAAGAAGCAATCTCACTCAATAGATATCAGCAATCAATTGGTACTTGGACTTGGGGCCACCATTTTATTTTATACTGTGAATGAATAAATTAATTTTCGAGGATCCAAATGTATTACATTAAATATTATATATTGATCTTAAAGGCAAGATTCAGTTCAGCACTACAGATAATTTGTAGTGATTTTTTAAATTTGTGGCACATTCATTAAATGATCGTTCATGAACGATCGGTTTGAGGCTCTTCATGTTCCCAGAGCGAACAGATGCCATTGGGCTACGCTAGCACACAACAGGGACAAATGGAGACGTTTCTGGCGCCCGCTCGAGCAAATCGACGACTAACGGGAAGTTAAGTGATTAAGTGATTCATTAAACAGTGATTTAATTGAATGCCTCCTGTCAGAATTTATACTAGGATCTAGAAATGCAGTAGTGGACAAAGTCCTCAGCGACCAATAAGAAGACTATTCATAACCAGTGGATAAACGTCAGGCAGAAATTGGTACCTGCAGCAAGGATCCAATGGCTCCTTTGGAAACCAAGGTTTGATTTTTACTAAGAGAACCTAGAAATTTGCCTTGAGTGTTTTCAGTCACTACCTTTGAAAAGAGAGCATTAAAGTAATCTCTAAAATATCCAATATACTTGAATTACAGTCACATTCTGATGTATTTTTAAAATACCAGTTTTGGGTAGATAATAGATAAATGACTAATGTAAGACACTTCTCAAGAGTTATCCCTCTCAGGGGTCACGGCCACTAGACTGAAATCATAACATATTTTTAATACTTTTTTTAAACTAAAAAGATATATTTATATACTCTTTTTTGATAAATTTATTCTTACTTTTTCTTTGCGTTTACCTTTTGATGTTTGTTCTTGTGAAATAAAATTCCTATTTCCTTTGGATTCACAAGCTAAACACAAGTGGCACCTTTTAAATTCACTTTTGACGTTCTGGCAAATCTTGGCAATGTTTTGAAAGTTGGTGTGATTTTGAAAGATTCCCATCACCAGTTGAGTTTCCCTTATGGGTTGCACAAAAGTCACAAAAGAAAAATTTAAGGGAAACAAGTAGGTGAAATTAGATTGTAATAATGTTTTCAGACATGATAACTCCAAAGTATTTCCTGGAAAAGAAAGAAAAACTTCATTTAGTATGAAATTTTGAGCTTTTGACATTCAAATAAATATATAATGAGCTTCCAGTTTTATTTAGGTGGATGCGGCATATTTTAGTTTTTAAAGGGTAATATTTATTTATAAAATGAAGTAATATTTAAGCACTTTTTAAAAATTTCTAAATTCAAAAATAAATCTCCTTGTTAAACTATAAAAAGTCAAAAATAAAGAAAATAGTCAAGGCTACTAAGGAAAGGTGTTTAGCATACAAAGGTGGCCATTTAGGCTATCATTCCATTTCTCAGCAGAAACTCTCCAGTCTAGTGAAGAGCTGAATGATGCATTCACAATCCTAAAAGATAAAATCTTCCAACCAAGAATACTCAAAAAATTACCCTTCAAATATTATAGAGGAGTACAGACTTTCCCAGATAAATCAGAGCTAATGGGGCTTACTGCCTCTTCCCTCCGAGAAAGGTTGAAAGTTATTTCACAGAAATAGAAAACATCCCCCCCCAAAAAATAAGAAACTCACAAAATCTTGAGTACAATGATAAACAACTAAATCTTAGCAAGAATAATTAGGCAAGAATAAAAAACAGCTAATGAATCCAAATTTGGAAAGAAGTAAACTATCATTATTTACAGATGGCATACATAGAAAATCCTAAAGATTCAACCAAAGAACTATTAGAAATTATAAGTGAATTCAGAAGAAAGTCAGAATACAAAATCAATAGACAAAATCTATTGCATTTCTACATACAAACAATGAATTAGGGACAAAGGAAATATTAGAAAACAACCTCATGGGCTGGAGAGATAGTACAACAAGTAGGGTTGCACGTGGCCAACCTGAGTTCAATCCCCAGCATCCAACATGATCTCTGAGCACTGCCAGGAGTGATTCCTGAGTGCAGAGCCAGGAGTAAGCCCTGAGTAGTAACTAGTGTACCTCCCCCACTACCCACAAAAAAAGAAAGAAAACAACCCATATGTATGATTCACAGAACCACATCACTATATCAAGACTCCAGAAAAGAATCTATTCTTTTGACCTCTTCCAATTCTGGTGACTGTTGGCTTTCCTTGCTTGGTATCTTGATCTTCATTGTCACACTCACTGCCTTTTGAACTCTGGCTGTGTATTGTATTCTTTGTTCTGTACCAAATTTCCTTCTGCCATTCTCTTATAAAAAATGAGTGACTGGATTTAGGGGGCATGGATAATACAAGATAGTCTCACCATCTCAAGATCCATCACTAAATCATATCTGCAAAGGCTTCACAGGTTCCCAGGATTATCACCAAAGGGGTGGCCATTATTCAGCCAACCTTGACCTCCAAAAGTGAAAATTAACAGTGTGGTATCATTCTACTTTTGTCTGGAGACAAACATTAAATATGAAATGATGATGTAACAGAAAAATCGCTGCTCTCTCTGTCATCAGCTAAAATACTAGTCCAATTGACTTCATCTCTCTGCGTCTCATTTTTCATCAGTAAAATCAAGATAACTTGAGATCCTGCCAACCCATGTTGTTACAATGGCAACAAGTAGTAGGGTACAAATGAAAACAGTTCTGTAATTTTTTAAATTTAAAATGCAAATTTCAAAGTGAAAATTAAGTTTATTCTTCAGCTGTATCATCAGGACTATCTATTATTTAATTTGTGAAAGTAATAAAATCTCACTCTATAAAGAATGGGAATCGTGACTTAGCAATCATGATCAACGGAGGAATATGTTACCTCCTTTCCAGATTTCTAGTCCTACAGTCATTTGGTAGCACTGCACTGTAGCACTGTACTCCTGTTGTTCAGCAATTACAATTATAGGCAAATTGTGGGACTTGTTACTGTTTTTGGCATATCAAATACATCACAGGTAGCTTGCCAGGCTTTGCCATGCGGGCAGGATACTCTCAGTAGCTTGCCATGCTCTCCAAGAGGGGTGGAGGAATCAAACCCGGCTCAGCCATGTGCAAGGCAAACGCCCTACTCGCTGTACTATCATTCCAGCCCACAGTCATTTGGTAGTAAGAATAAAAGGACTGACATGCTCAACTCTGCCTTAACATGATTTTCCTTACCATCTCCCATGTTATTACATAGGGCAGAACATATGTCTTTTATTTCCAATTAATGTGGAACTCAGTGAAAACAACCATTTTTTAAATGATGACTTCTAGTCACACATCCTGATTTAAACTTTTTTTGAAAAATCAAACTACAATTGATAGTAAAGCATGTTTTAAATGTATGGGGGGTTTTAGGGGCCTGAAGTGATAGCACAGCAGGAAGGGCATTTGCCTTGCATGCAACAGACCTCGGTTCGAATCCCAGCATTCCATATGGTCCCCTGAGCACTGCCAGGAGTGATTCCTGAGTGCAGAGCCAGGAGTAACCCCTATGCATCACCGGGTGTAACCCCAAAAGAAAAAAATATAAAAATAAATGTGCGGGTCTTTAAATCATGATTCTTTTGTGTTAATTATTATTATGTTTTACTATTTGATAGATCAAAATCTTCTTTGGCAGACTTCTCCGTTTTCAATTGCTTCTGTAATAATACACATGGGATTAAATATTTAGATGTTAGAACTAAAACCATGAAATGCATCAAAAAAAAAAACAAAGGCAAAGCATTCCGTGATATTGGGTTCCACAATATATTTGGACATTTTCTGTCAAAGGCAAGGGAAAGAAACAAAAGGAAAAGTAAGCAGAAAAAATTACTCACATTGGAAAAAAAATATGCATAGGAAAAAAAATTGTCACTAAAACAAAAAGATGTCCTACTGAATGACAGAAAATATTTCTGCCAACCTATATCTGACAAAGGCCCAATATCCAAGGTACATTTAGGAAATCACAGAATTCAACAACAAAAACTCAAGCAATCCCACCAAAAAATCTGGGGAGAGAAACTGGACAATTCAGTGAGGAAATCTTTTAGTTGGTTTCTTGGCACAAGAAAAATGCTCACTGTCATTTCAGAGTAATGTGAATCAAGACAACAATGAGATACTGCCTCAAACCGTGACAAGAACCTATATCACACAAGCCAGACAAAAGATGCTGCAGAGAGGGCGTGGAGAAACAAACCCTCAAATACTGCAATGCCCAGGTAAATTAGTTCCATCTTCTTGGAAAGTAATAGGGCACTCTCTCTCAAAATATTAAAAATAAAATGATTCATTGAATGATCCAGCAATTTCACCCAAGGTATCTATCCAAGAACACAAAAGACTAACTCAAAAACATGCTTGCAAACCTATATTCATTGCAATCTATTTACAGTAGTGAAAATATGGACAATTCAAGTACCCAACACAGAAGAGTAGATGGAGGAGATGTGGTGTAGGGCAGGAGGAACTAGGATGAGGATTCAGGCACATGCCTTGCATGCAACTGAGCCCAGCCCCAGCAACACCGCCATCACCCAGAGAAACCCTGGCACCATAGGGCCCAGACAGCACGGCATCCATCAGGATTGGTTGAGAATCTCAGGGAGGAGTTCCCCCGACCTCGACCCTCGACCATAAAAAAGATGTGCTATATATACACACAATGGAATACTGCTCAGCTACAAGAAAAAAAATTAAAACCTGTCCAGAAACTCCTAACGATTTTTAATTAATTAATGAATTAATTTGGCTTTTTGGGGTCACACTCAGCAATGCTCAGGGTTACTCCTGGCTCTGCACTCAGGAATCACTCCTGGTGGTGCTCGGAGGACCATATAGGATGACAGGAAAGGATCCTGGGTCTGTCTCATGCAAGACAAAGGCCCTACCCTCTGTGCTATCGCTGTGGTCCTGCTATAAGAAATCTTGACTTTTGTGAAAACATTGAAGGAATGGAAGTTGATGGAAGGAATACTAAGTGAAATAAATCAAAAGCAGAAGGCAATGATCAGATGTTCTCACTAACATGTGGATTAAAGAGAAGCAAAGCTGACTGACCAATGGAAACAAAGCTTACTCTCAGACCACAGAGCTGTGTTGAGCCAAGGGGAAGGGCGGCCTCATGGGAGAAAGGATGTTCTCTCGGCTGTGGCACAGGGATATTGGTATCCCGATGATGGTCTTGGTATGGTAACAGATACTTCGAAGAGAAGTAAAATTGCACTCCCCTAACACGGAGTCTTATTAACTCATATTTAAAATAAATAACAGGGGTCAGAGCGGTAGTACAACAAGAAGGGCATTTGCCTTGCAAGTGGCCGACCTGGGTTCAGTCCCAGCATCGAATATTGTTCCCCAGCATCCGCCAGGAGTAATTCCTGAGTGTAGAGCCAGGAATAAACCAGGTGTGACCCAAACAAACAAATAAATATGTAAATAATAGGTATGAATTATTAATCTATGGTGTATTAAAACCAAATGTGAGGCAAACCTTTAAAGTTTTTGGAAGGAAATGTAAGAAAGAGCATTATGACCTTAAAGTAGAATGCTGTCTTTTAATTTTTTACTATTTTTTTAAGAATAAGTTATTTTTTAATTTAGTTTATTTACTTATTTGTTTGGGTTGGAGTGATAGCATAGCGGGTAGGAGGTTTGATTCCTCTGCCCCCTTGGAGAGTCCAGCAAGCTACCGAGAGTATTCCACCCAGACAGCAAAGCCTCCCGTTACATTTTTGATATGTCAAAAACAGTAATAACCAGTCTCACAATGGAGACACTGCTGGTGCCGGCTCGAGCAAATCAATGAACAACGGGAGAACAATGCTACAGGGCAGTGCTACAGGACTTATTTATTTAGTTATTTACATGAGGAGTAGACTCCACCACGGAGTACACTCCCCCAGCCAAAAATGTCTTCAACAATACACGAAAAGCACAGGGCCAAAATAGAAAGACGTATGTCTGGTTTAATTAAGATTGAGAACTCTTGAAAGTGACCCAAAAGGAATTAAGAACTGGACTCCTACTTAAAACCGTCAAATTCCTTTGGGCACAGGCTATTGAGAACACAAAGAAGGTAGCACTTTCTCTCATTTCAT